GGGCTGTGGTGTAGATGAAACCTTTGCTCGGTGTGAAGCTCAAACGACCTCTTGGGGAAAGTGGATCCAAACTTCCTGTTTGGAGTGAACGGAGAAGCTGACTGCCACTCAGATTTCCTGCGGTACTTGAACGGGCTGCAGTGCAGATGAAACTTTTGCTCGGTGTGAAGCTCAAACGACCTCTTGGGGAAAGTGGATCCAAACTTCCTGTTTGGAACCCAAGCTCAGTTAGAAGCTCAGTTGATCCTTCCAGAGAGAGAAGGTCCGTTTGCAGGATGACTTCAGAGACAAAAAAAACAAAGTTAAGACTCAGGTTGACAAAAACTCAGCAAAACTAAGCATGGCTAGAGTACCCTGTATTGGCAAACACTCAGGTGTCGAGGTAGTGGCAGTCAGCAGCTTAAGAGCACTCCACAGGTTATGAGGCAATGAGATGCAGGTGTGCAGGGTGACCCAATGAGGATGGGGCACCACCTGGTGGAGGAGGAAAGGAAACACAAAAACACACCACACAAACTGGGTTCCTGACAGTTAAAAGTCAGCTGATCACGTTGCCAATATGAAAAGAAAAGATAAAAGAAAACATAATGAGGAAAACAGCAAGAAAATGAATAAGAAGAGAGGGACAAAAAGTAGAACTAATAATCTATGTCAGTTCTATAAAACTTTCTGTATCTGTTTAATGGGTCTGTTTTATGTGTTGTTTCCTCAGTTCAGAGGGTCCAACTCCTGTCTTTGCCTAGGGCCCCAAATTTCTTAAATACACCCCTGTTGCTGAACACTGAAAAAAGTAAAAGGCACCCTCAGAGATCGCTGAACAGAAAAGGACTCATTGTATCCATATACTCTGTAGGTCTCCGTTAACATTTGTCTTTCTTCTGATTTGTCCACGAAGGAGTTCTGTTACGACATAAAATATGCAGACCTCACTAAAAAGACTTTGGAGATCACCGTGTGGGACTACGACATCGGAAAGTCAAATGATTTCATTGGTGAGTCTGATGCCGTCTTATGGGAGGTTTGCTGCTGTAGAGGAAGGGGTTAAATACATGGAGCCGCATCCAGCAGCTCATCATACACTCTGTCCAGCTGAGGCTCCATCGGTTCGGTTTCTTTGCAAAAATTAAAACATGTATCACCTTTTAGACTGCCTTTCACACCTACAGTGTATCGGCACCTAATACTGGGTATGGAAGTGAAATCAGTGGAAGCATTTAACTTTAGGCAACAAACCAGGTCCCAGCAACACCCAGCAGCAACCTCTCATTTAGCCTTTTATCAAATAATGACAAATCTCTGCAGTTCAGTAATAAATCTTTAACTGGAGGGCTAACAATTGACAACATGTTTTTAAATAAACTATTTCCATGGTGTACAAGCGCCCGATTAACCATTAGTCTGCATTTGATTAAAGATAATAAAGATAAATAGTCTTTACAGCTTGTGCCAATTAACAGACTTTAATTTCTGTGTTCAATTCTACTCTATTTTCTTCTTGAGGGAAATTTCAGACATTCAATTCAGACTAATTTAGATAGGATTTAAAAACAGGGGTGGGAGATGTGAGCTTTATGGTGATATTTTGTGAAATTTACAATAAAAGTGATGATTAAAAAAGTATTTACTCATTTTTACCGTCTTTCGTAGGGAAATGTATGACTGTTCATTGCCGTTCAATAGGTTTTATCAGGACACTAGTGACACAGAACCGTGATCTTGATCACTAAAATGCAGTCAACAGCTGCATTCAATCATGTATTTTTATTTAATTATATTTATTGAGGTAAAAAAATAATCAATATTAGCAACTATGGTTATGATTTTCAAAAATCTTAAATAGGAATTTGAAATTATGATTATTCACATTTCATACCATGATAAGAAACTCTTCATGTTGTTGATAAATAATTAATGTTTCCATGTATTTTAGTCCAGAACGTTGTTAGATTCACCAAGAATCAACTAAGTGTGAAGTAATGAACTAAGTAAATCTGAATCTGTATCATCTTGTAAAGTGATTCTTATAATGTAAAAAAAAATGTATATTTTTATTTGTAATTATGAAGGAGTTATAAAAACAGTCTTATTGAAAAATTTTATTAAATTCAGTTTATTTCTATAGCTCCAATTCACATCATGTCATCTCAAGGTGCTTTCCAGTTCACCAGATCATCCAGTCAGATTGATTCAGTTTTCTTTCCCAGGAAAAACAGCTGATTGCATCGACTCATTGACTCAAAGGCAATCTCTCACACTAAGCATGCTTGTAGCGACAGTGGAGAGGAAAAGCTCCCGTTTAACAGGAAGAAACCTCCAGCAGAACCAGGGAAAAAAATTAAAAAAAACTATTTTAGTTCAACCGCAAACTGGAATGTTGTGCATGCAGCAACCAGCTTTAAGAAAAGAGTACCAGTAAGTAGCCTTGTGAGACCATCCTGATCTCGCGAGCTT